ACTACCTGAAATTCATGCTCATGAGAGGAGAGAACTCTTGTATTCGCAGAGCTTGGCACAGAAAACAAACTATGCGTTTGTGACATCATTCTGTATATAAGAGAAGCCATCCATTTTGATTATTTGAATATATAAACTTCTGAAGTATATTAGAGTAAAAGCTTTTATAAAAATTTGGCTTATTTGTTAATTTAGTAAAACTTATTTAATAATTATATATGTAGAGAAAATCTAATTTGTTTTTTCTTACTCATATTTTCTAGAATAAATTTATTCAAATTATTCCAGTCTTTTAAAAACATTTTTTGCTGGACCATTTAAAAACTTTCTTTAAAATCATTTGCCTTATTTTTGCAGGTAAATTGAAACCTTTTTGAGATTTTATAAGTGCAACTGAAAGTGCAAGTAGGGCAGGGCAGGGCTGCTTTGGAATAGAATGAATGCTAAGAAATTAGCTGCTATGCTCCTAGCCAATGATATGTATTGTTTATGTGAGGTACCAAGAAGTTGTCTCTAGGGATAGCTGAATCTGTTTTTGTGGATTGTGTATAATGTAGGGTAAATAAGGGAAAAATCTTTGTGTTCATAGGTTGAGAAATTGAGTTCTTTTCTAAAATTTACATGTCAATAAAATTCCTCAGTCACTGAATAAAGCAATTGGCAGCTTTACACCAGGAGAAATCTCCAAGGTACTGGACTCCAACAGTTTTGAAATTAAACAACTAGAAAGCCAGAGATCCAGGCTCTCTGACATCTGGGGGCATAACCTCTCTTCAGTCTTGGCTAAGACAGTGTCTTCTCAGGCACAGGAGAGAAGTTTGCTTACACTTTTAGGTAGAGCATTTCATCAAACAAGGGCTACCTCAAGTGAGGTAGGTGCAACTATGGGAAGGAAGGTGCTGGTAATTCAACTTGTACTGTCCAGTCCTCTAGCGGGAACACAGATAACCATTGACCTTGAGGAAAACTGTTTTACACTGGCTGTGGATTGTGCAATGGAAAGAAGCCTTCTTTTTGTTCAGATGTGTACATTATGTGAATTTTCAACCATGTGTCTCACTTGCTCTCTACCTGTGCATATACTTGAATAGCATTTACTGCTTTTCAAGATTATCACATATTTCTTATTCTTTTACATTGTTTGTAAGGATCATTTTGCTGATATGGTTTTTAATTCATCAGTAACATGAAAGAGTAACTTCCTTGTCTATACTGCAAACCCCTTTCTATAAGAACAGGTATTTCTGTAGTCAAATTTGGTTATGTTGGTTTTTAATATTTCAATTCAGTATAGGTGCAACTTATTGCACGTAAGTCATTAATAGTAGCCTGGCATCACTATATACCTTGATATCACCAGTATTTCTTTTTCATTATGAGACTGTAGTGTTTTGTTTTTTTTTGTTTTTTGTTTTCAAATAGTCTTCTTGTCACAGTGTATTTTTTTGTGGTTGTCAATTATTTTCAAATTATAGAAATACAGATATAATGCTTACATGTTTTATCTCCTGATAATCAAAAATCCTCTATTTTAAGAAATATTTTCTTCTAGGCTTCTGTATTTCATTTATAATCATTCTTTGTTCCACCTGTTTTTAGTAACAGCCAATGATATGTAATTTGTCTTATGTTGCTCTTCAATTTTGTACCGATGAGTTTTATATCAAAGTTTGTCAGATAGGAAAGGTGGCTTGGAATGAGGGCTTTACCATCTTCTGGATTTAATCATAAAGGTGCCAATTTAAAGTTAGAAGGAGCTCATAGAGGGAGGTTTTCAGAGATCAGATAGGACAGTTGGAAGAAGAACAAGTGACATGCACATGCTGTCTTTTTAAAAATGGCTACACTAACAATAGGCCAGGTAATCCACATTTACACATTCAATAACTGAGGAAAAGCCATGTGTGACACATTCAGGTAAAGCCAGCACCTGACCAATGACCAGATACTTAATACTAAATGTAGTCAGGAAGAGGTACCATGTATTACTGTGTTTTCTAGACTCAGAAGTGCCTGTTTTACCTGAGTCATATGACAAAACTCTCAACATATCTAAAGGTCAAAGATTTTATTGACATTGAGGAACAGAAATGTTCAGTGTCTTGCCCAAAGTCATAGGCTCAAAAATAATTGAACCAAAACCTTGATCAAACTGGTCTCGTTAAGACATTCACTAGGCTGCTTTTCTAAGTCTGCTGTGTGAATAGCAATAGAAATAGCAACTTTATTTCATGATTTTCTAACAACTACAGATGTTACATGACAATAATCATGACTCCACTTGACTGTGAAAATAAAGAAGTTGAGTTGAGTTAGGGTAAAATATTCCTGCTCAAATTCATCAAACAAGCAATAGAGGTGATATTCAAGTTAGGCTGTGTTTCTTCTTCCCCTTCCTCTTTGCTTTAGAAAGGAAAAAAATTAAGGAGAAAGCATAAGATTTTCAAGGGTTTCTACTGATTCCATCTATAAACAAGTTACCTGAAATTAAATGAATAGTGGCGAGTACTCTTTAAATAATTGCCATTGCATTTTAAATGTTTCTGCATAGATAGCGTTTTCATTTCTCTGGAAAAGATAACTTTTTTTTTTGTATGACTTTTTTCTTTCATTGCTGAAAACATGCAGGGTCTTCCTGCTAGTGCACATTTTCTGCTTTAGGAGCTAACTTACCAAGTTTTGGCATGAAGAGCTCCTACTTATTCCACTGATCTCAGTGAAATGGTATCTAGTCATTGAGGTCTACTATAAACCTGCTGTTATTCTCCACCACATCACCTCAATAAATATATATATTTCCCTATGACTAGCTAAAATTCATGTTCATGAGCAGGGACCTCCTGTGTTCACAGATACACCTCTAGCTCCTAGAACAGAGCTTGGCAGAGAGCACAAGCTCAATGGGATGATGTCAGTGAACATACAGTGACTAGTCTATGAGAGAATCCTTCTTCCATTCTGACCTATGAATTTATAAACTATTGAAATGTGTTAGAATAAATGCCTGTGTGAACATTTGATACATGTTAATTTAGTAATATGTATTTAAAAGTACATATTGATGCTAAAAGGATATTTTGTTTTAGCTTAACTGCATTTTCTAAAACAGATTTATTCAAATTCTTCCCATCATTTCAAAAACATTTTAGTGTACGGTTCATTAAAATGCTTTAACTTATCTTATGGCCCAAATGGAACTCTTCAAAGTTATTATTAGTATAACTGAAAGTGAAAGTAGGGCAGAACTGCTTTGCAATAGGATTAATGCCAATAAATCAGCTGCTTATGTTCCTGACCAATGATGTATATTATTTATGTAAGATAACCAAGAAGTTGGCTTCAGGAATAGCTGAACATGTTTTGGGGAATTCTGTATAATGTAGGGTAAATAAGAAATAAACTTCGTGTTCATAGGTTGAAAACTAGAGTTTTTTTTTTTTCAAAATCTGCATGTGAATACATATATATATATTTATAATACACTGTAATGTACATAAATTCTCCCTATTACATTTTCCCTACTCAAATGGAAAAAATAACCTTGAAAGGGGAAACATAGGCAAGAGTGAATTGAATCTTATCCTTCAAATAGAGCAGAGATAAGAAACCAACTGTAAATTGAACATTACAATGTTCATCACTATCTCTAACTTTTTTTCCTTACTTCATTGTATTTGATATAGAAAATATGGTGTTTTTTACAGAGGATTACCAATGAATGTTGATGGTGGATAATAGCACAGAGCAAGAAAAGTTCAGGCAAGATTAAACATCCATTAATGATTAAAAATCTCAAAGATCCTTCTCTTGTGGCACAGCAGGTTAAAGCACACCACTGTGAAGCCAGCCTCAGGCACTTCAGTGTGAGTTCTATCCCCAGCCAGGGAGGTGACCCACATGGGGTGGCAGACCTCTGCTGACCCACCCGATGCTCCCCTCAGCAGTGTACTTCCTCAATCTGCCTGTTCCGCTCTCCACTCTCTCAGGTGAGTCCTCTCCACACCCCTGCACCTCTGGCCTATACCCTAGTTCTGTATGCATAAATAAATAAATATTTTATAAAATCTCAAAGTATGGAAATACAAGGAACATATTTCAACATAATAATCTAGAACTAATGTCAAATTTAATGGTGAAAAACTAAGTGTTTTTTTTTTTTTTTTGTAAGAGCTGGTAGGAGACAAGTTTCCTTAACTTGTTTCTTAAATTGTTACTTATATCAAAAGTGTATTTTATTACATTAGAAACTTGAAGAGACAGAGGTATTATGGTGGAAAGAAGATATTTGTGGATAGAAGTATTTGATTTACAATTTTAACCACTGTAATTGTCCTATGAGTTAAGATATGTTGTTCATGGGGAAAAAAACCTAAGGAGCCAACAGAACATGCAGTGACAGGTTTCCCTGAGAAAACAGGGCGACATATTCAGATGGGTGGTTATGTCCTTTCTACCTTGGAGTCTCTTCTGCATTATTTCTTTTTTTTTTTAAGATTAATTTATTTGTGCATACAGAACTGGGGTACAGACCAGAGGCTTAGGGGTGCGAAAAGCTTCAACAGAGACAGAGTGGGGAGCAGAACAGGCAGATCGACGAAGTACACTGCTGAGGGGAGCATCGAGCGGTCCAGGAGAGGTCTGCCATGCCATGTGGTCACCTCCGGGGCAGGCGGAAATTGAACTCATGAGGAAGTGGCTTTTTAGCATCTTAGTGCTGTGCTTTAACCTGCTGCGCCACCAGGGAGGGGCCACTTCTGCATTAATTCTTAAGGTTGAGTTCTTTATTTTGAGCACCCTAGAGAGCAGCCAATATAACAGGAAATGGCAATTTGGGACCCTGTCTAAAGGGTTGTGGCTCATATATTTATTCACATATATTTGTGGGCTGCATGGTGCTTGTGTGTGGACATTGTAGTAATAATAAAACAAATGACAAAAAGACCATTGAGTATCATTACGTGGTGAGAAGAAAAGGCAACTGTAAACAGGCCTTCTCAGTTTCACAATTTTAATGATGGAAGCATCATCTGCATATCATATAGACAGGCACTACTATTTTTCAAGCATTATCTTATGTATGTTGATATTGACATTCTTCTTTGTATGTCCCATTTGATAATCACTCAACAGCATGACACTTATGCTGACAAAGGCCCAAACAGGAAAAGAAGTTCAAAGATCCAACAAAAAATAGTTTCACTACAATAATTTCATCAAAATAAGCTCAAACAACCCAAAAGAAAAATTTTAAATTGTAATTTTAAATCATAATTAGTTGTCCCATAGGTGGGACAACATAGTTCAAAGGAAGGCACCTCATTCAGTCTCAGGCTGTTAGGAAACAGTGAGGAGGAGCAGGGCAAGAAATATCAGGGAAGAGTAAGATGACTGTGTAAGGACAATTGTGTCCTTTAGCACAGCCTGAGTCAAGAGAGTAGGCGCAGTTTATGGACTTGCAAGCATTTCATTCTAAACCAAGAGTTGCAATCTGGAAAGAGTCCCTACAAGTTGGGTTTACCATGAACAAAATTTTCCTGGAAATTTGCCACCTTGATAAACGTGATGATGGACTTTGGGAACCATTGCAGTTCACATCCTAATACTTAATTCTGAATATAGGTCAGGGACTAGAATGATGGACTTGGGGAAGCATTGCAATCACATCCTAGTACTTAATTCTAAATAAAGGTCAGGGACTAGAATTTCAAGGGTTTTTAAGAGGTCAACCCTTGGTATAATATGGTAACGACTTTTTACCTTTCAAATTTATTGAGTGCAACAACCACCAGATTTCATGACTGCTCCAAGGCCAGTCATGCCTACACCAAGAACCTTAAAAGGCCCAGGTAGTACTGCAGTTAATACACCACCAGCCTTAATGAGGCCATCAGAGATTGCTGAAGATCTATTGCTTGTAGTTTGCTGAACAGCTTCTCTTAGCTGATTTACCTCTTTGTTCATCTCCTCATATTTATTTGTAAACCCTTCAGTAAGTAGTTCTTCTTGCATCTGTAAAAAAGAAGGATGTCTTCTGTTGAAAATGTCAATTAGCAGTATTTTCTATTTAACAGTTTTAGCTGCTAAGTATGTCCTGCTACTGCCCACTATTAGGTGCTATATTGATGAGTTTGTTCAGTATATCCCTATGTTTGGAGCTGGGTAGTTGGAGTATCCTTGACTTGTAGGTGCTTCAGACCCCTGAAAACCTCTCCCTGCAGTGGGGAGGTATTGGGATTGAGCCAGGCTCGGCAGCTATGCCAGCATGTGTTCAAGTCCGATGACACACTTGAGAGGGAACATATAGATGTAATTCCACTAGTGCTTCTTCCACTGAGGAGCTATGAGGACTTTTCTAACATAACGGGAAGTGCTGTATTTCTCCAGAACACAGTTATCACACTCTAGGCTGGGACAGAGAATGCTTGTAAGAATGTCCTCCAGATGTATTCATGTACATTCTATACATTTTATCTGTATGGAATGAATCAAGCAATTTACAATAAAATTGGTTTTATGCATCATGAAGGACTCTGAAACTACTGTTCTACTGAATTTGGGATCAGAATCTGATCCTATAATCATATAAACAATCTTTGGTATTTTCTGAACTCTGAAAAATGAAATGCTACAGAAGGTATTGATCTTATATATTTAAGTCTTCACATGATCCAGGTTTATTCACTATTTCAAGTAATCATATACCTTTGCTTTTATACCTAGGTCATGATTAGAGTTAAATTTTTTGTTTTCTTCCTTCTGAGGAATTGTAGTGTTGCCCTCAGTCACTGATCAGGCTATGCAGAAATACCTTTAGTTTATGATCCAGCATCTTTTTCTGCTCTCTAAGAAGTTCATCTTTTTCTCTCTCCATCTTCTCTTGCAGTTGGGTTATGTTTTCCTTAAAACTTATCTTTTGAGCTTCTATGAATTGCTGTTGTTCCTTCTCTTTCTGTTTTAGAAGCTCCCGTTCCTGCTCAGCTGCCTCCTTCTTGGCCCGCTCAGCTGTTCCACAACAGTTTTGTAGGGGGAAGAAAAACAACAGTAATGTAGATCTGTACCCTCTGAGCTAATAGACTATAATAGCTTATTAACAATTATCATATGTATTATAGTCGATAATAGTCCTTAAAATTTCAGGGAGGGATATCTGAAACCAAGTGGTAGTCACACCAGGAAAATATGTCAGAATGTGATGGGAAGACACTGTTTAGTTGCAGGAACAACAAAACCCACCTGGTTTATTTCACATATATCATTTCCCCCCACAGAAATAAAGGATGCTGGTTGTTTCAGGAAGGTTTTACTTTCACCCATATCAATGCACTGCAGGACATTCCCTTCTTTCTCCATACCTTCTATGGCCTTCTCCCCATCAGCGAGAGCTTTGTCTGCCTGCAGGATGGATTCTTCTATTGGTGCCTGTGACTGCAGGAAGCTCTGGAGAACCTTCTTCGCCTGAGGAAACAATAGGAGCAAGACTTAGTCAGGCAGCTAAGAGCTAGTCTTATATTAGGGAAATTATTGTTCAATGAACCTATAAATAATATCCTGTAAATTCTTTGTCCATTTGAGGGTCTCCACTGGTTCTTTTCCTTCACTGGTCACAAAATACCAGCCAGAGGAACTCACATTTTAATTCTATAGTTTCTTCTTGCAAGCAAGCCACCTTCCCAGGTTAGAGACAACCAGATTTATATCCTGTTTACAAGTACAAAGTGTCAATTGTTTGCAGTGTCTGTGAATCTTTCCCTTTTAATTGGTGTACATTTTTTCCTACATTTATCTTATTTTTTGACACAAAGACATGTAGCCTATTTGTTCTTCCAGGGATGCTCCCTAAAGTTCATTCTGAGATTTGAATGACTGCCAGGTACCAAAGTTTCCCTACCAGCTCTACCATTTGATAGCTGTGCATTTGCATTGAGTTATTAACTTCTCGTTGCATAAATATCTTCAATTTTATAGTGAGGTGCTTAGTTCATTAAAGTAGTAGCTATTTCACATTATCTCAGTATTAAATTGATAATCCAACATGATTTAGTGAGTGCTCAAAATATGTCAATCATCAGTCATCATCAAAACCATCACTATCATCATCCCTCAATGTATATCTTTGTAATAACTGTTATATCCAATCAATTATATATTTGTAATTCTCTGTAAAAGTTAAACTTCTTGAGAAGAGTTTTGTGTCTGTCATTATATAGTCCCTATAGGCAGCACAGAAACATTTACACTGTTTACAAAGTGAAAGGAATGGTCTTTCTCATCTAGATTCCTGATAGTAAATCTTATATTTGGGAAGAAATGTTTCCATTTTTTAAAGAATATATAAATAATTTGAATGTAAAAGCTAATATGAGCTATCTGTGTTTTCCTTTACCTATGTAATTATGGCAGTAGTCTTAGTCCCTACCACTGAGTATGCTCTTCTCAGCTCTGTTTATTTCTCACCTTAACTCCTTTCCTGGGCACCAGCTCGTAGTCCTGCTCAATTTTGTTCTTTGCTTCTAAGTAGAGACTGTGTCCTCCCGGCACAGAGAAAGTTCCTCTGGAGACGCTTTCCCTCAAGGATTCTGAAAGCTTCCTAAGCTCAGCCTGGCAATATTTGAGAGATGCATCTTCATTCTGCAGTAAGAAATCCTCCTTCTTTTTCTCTATGGTTTCCTGCCAGTGGAAAATAGAAAAATGCAAAAAAAAAAAAAAAGTTGTTAGGAGGGAAAGTCTATCTGTGGTCCTTCTGGAAGAAGCAGCCTAGTGACCTCAGAGTGGACAAAACATGGAATGACCAGGAGTTAGGAGACTTGTTAGCCATAGTTCTGATTAATTCAGTTCATAACTTGTTCAAAGTCCCTCATCTCCTGTGGATTGAAGTCATTACCTTTGAAATGATGGGGTTGCTAGTCATGAACTACCAGCTACCAATTATTTTCTTAATTAAGATACAACTGATATAAAATATTTTACTAGTTTTATTTGTTCAAAATAATTTTATATTTGCTGACACTGCACAATGATCACAACATAACTCTAGTTAATATTTGTCATCTTACATATTTATGAATTTTTTTCTTTTATGAGATCTTTTATGTTCTAACCCTTGAGCACTATATATGTGCAATATCATGTCATGAGTGGTTCACTATAGATTGTAGAATTAAAAATGTTCCATCTATCAAGAATAAACTATGGAATGTTATTGGATGAAGGGATGCTAACTTTCTCTATTTATGCATAGCATCAACTACTCATTATTAAGTTAGTAAGTAGCTGCTGAACAGAGTTCTGAACCTGTCATAAATTCTTTCAATAACTGCTTGTGTGCATAAATATTAGGAAGAGAACTTGTTTGTCTGATAGTAGTTTTCAATCCTTCTTTCTATATGTACAAAGTGATATTTGTGATTTGTCCAATGACCAATAGGAAACTCAAAGGCAAACTTGCAGTAATGGTGCCCTGGCTAAGGGGCGTTATTATGACCCCCCCGCCCCCCAAGAGTCACCTCTCTGATGTTTACACTCTGCGTTCTCTCTGGGATTGTGAATATTAATCTTGTTAGTTGGGTATGTAAATAAAATAGACTTTAAGGAAAAGAGAGTACCAGTAGATCATTACCTAATCATTTGAGTCGCCTAAAAGCATTTTTCTGTAGGTTAGGGCAGAGAAGGCAGACATGTAAAAATTGAGAACAAGAGAAGGATGGCATGTGCTCTTGGTGGATTAAATGAGGTGTGGATCCCAGTGCCTTCAGATGGTAAAATAAGCCCATTTGAAACTTGTTTTCTACTTGTACATAAATGGGGCTGATACTATCTTTTACAGGGATCTGACAAGAAGAACTGTGAGCTAATCAAATGTTTTAAGATGCCAAGCTCATGTTGAGATGTTTTCTCATAATAGGAATAATAGTCAATCTTTTAGAAATAGGAAGGACTGCATCAAGATCCTTCTACACGGAGAGCACATCAAATGTAGGGCCGAGCAGGGTGAATAAGTCTCACTCTGGAAACACAGAAATAAGGGTAAATGAAGGCTTAGACCTATTACCACAAGCATTTTCTGGAACTCCCACTTGTCATCCTTGAAGGAGTGCTCCATGAAGATGGCGATGGCCTCCCTCTCACAGGCTGCATGCAGGTCTAACAGCTCCTGGAGTGTGTCCGTGGGGAACTGCACTCTCTGGGCCATCTGCTGGCTGTAGTGGTCGGCTGCCTTCTGCACAGCCTCTGAGTTCTTAAGCTGGGCCAGAGTTGTCACTGCATTCTCCAAACAAGGAATACTTCCACTATTGATGGTGTCCACGTAGATCACAATGAGAGTTCCCAGCCCTGAATGTCAATGATATTTAGGAGATAAAAAGAATTCACAGCTTTTGAGGCCAACATTGTAAAAATCACAAAAACTTTATTGAAATATCTTGACTTTCATCTTAGCTTTATCTTCAACCTCGTCTTCATCATTGCTTTATCTTCTTTTGTCTTCTATGAATCAACATCCTAGTTATAATGTTGCTGTATTGTTTACTTTTTTTTGGTTGGCTGTTTTACCATGTTACAATCATAAGTTAATGAAATCAACCTATGTAATCAATGATGATCAGGAAAACTTTACTCATTGAAATAAAATTAAGAAGTGCTTATTTTATAGTTAAGTACATAATTTTCACACTTTCCATATGAAAATAAATCCCACTTATAAAAAATCATATGAATTTCAAGCCACTGCCACACGCTTTCCTCAGGCATGGGTCCATCTGAACACAGACACAGTGTGTCTGCTCAGGTGTCCTGTCCATGACATAAGATTATATTTAAACAGTTTCTCAAACTCTAAAAGAGCATTCAGAGATTCATATACTGCTATTTATGTTCTGTGTCAATTCACAGAACATCTTGTGTCTCCTCACCAAATAAGACTTTTCCAATCAACTCATCTTCACACAGATTTTTGTTCTTAACAGCAGCCAGTGCTAATGTCATTATTTCATGAGACACTGAAAGAGTCATTTAACCCTTTTAAAAGGAAATTTTAGTGAGTACATGAATTTCTATATGTGGCATAACACCTGCCTTTTGGTAGCACATAGAGAAAGACAACAGCACCAACAAGCCCAGGGAGCAGTGGGTGTCATCCACACACTGAGCCACAGAGACATGTTGTAACGAGACTCACCATTTCCAGGCACAGTGATCCCCTCCCTTAGGGTCTTGGCTTCTGCATGTGTGAAGATATAGGAACAGAATTTTCGGGATTGCTTTTGGAAATTCAGATCCAGTTGACTTTCTGACACTTTCTCCATGCAGTGTAACAGTTTTTTGTCACTTGTAGGCCGATCAAAGACAAAGCACTTCCGTTTTGGAAAGAACTTCCTGATAGACTCTCTAGGCAGGTTGGACATTTGGATTTGGGGAATATTTCCTTTATGAGTGGAAAAATAATAGTCACTGAATGAATGTCTTCCATGTAGGGGCTGGCTGACTACTTTCATTTGAGGAATCTGTGATCCATCTTTGATTATATGAAAATCAACCTTATATAATTCTACACAAGATATGAAGAATCTTTTCTTTATACAGAACACAGAATAAAGGGATGAGGGAGGCTTCCATCCTAAATTAAGAAACTCATGAGTTTTTTTCTTTAGTACTTGATGGTATGCAGTGGTTGGTTTTATTACATTTGTTGAATGATAGTTTAATGCAAAAAGTTTTCATAACTATTTTTCTGATAATTTGTTAGTCTTGATATATAGTATCTCAGTAAATTATGGGCATTGATAAAGACATGTATGATATTTCTGGAAAAATATCATGTAGGGGGCCTGTTGATAAACAGGAAAGTAAGGAAAACCTTTATAAAATCAGCACTGCATAAATAAATAACCAACGAAACAAGTTGAAGTATGTATAAAATTGCTTTTAACAGAGCAGTAAAATATCAAATGTAAGCCTTGGAATTTGGAGGCCTCACCAGTTCTCTATTCCAAATTATATTGAATGTGATAATGTCATCCAGAGGGTTTATGGATATGTGTCAACCATCAAAGAAATATTTGTTGAGTGAATAAATAAATGATAAATAAATCAAAATGAATATAGATTTTAGGTAACACCTATTATCTTTTCTGCTAAGTACAATTAATAATGAATATTTATATTAACATGACTACACAAAATGTAAAGCTATACAATAAAGAGCATGTTCTATGAGAATCCAAAAAGGTTGGACAGCCTCACTGGAGAAATAAGTTAATGATTTTTGGGAAACTTCAAGTATAAAACTATTTATATGTAATTATGTAAGCTAGTAAAATAAATTGCATGAAATATATGTCAAAGCTTGGTAATTTGATATTTTTGTGCTTCTGGATTTACCTACTTCGAATATAATGGAGATTTTTTTTTCTCTAAAGAGGAGTGGAGGAACACTTAAACTGAATAAGTATGAAAGATATTTGGGATATAGGAAGCTTGAACACTGGTTGTAATTATGAACTTTCAAGGAATCAATTTTTTCTGAAATGATTTGTTCCAATCATGGATTCTAAGTTTCCTTGGTGAATTTAAACTTGACCACCAGAATTTTCTCAGTACTAATGATTGACTCCATACCCACTAATCATACACCAACTAATATCATAAGTGACAATCCAAAGTCAAGTAAAGATTCATCTCAACAGTTGAATGACAGAGCTTAGTCCATTCCACCTCCACTGAACCTTCCATCACCAGGACATTCTCTATACCTTTAATCAACTTCAAGGCATTCTCCAGGTACTCGTCTTCAGTGATGAGGCGACCATCTAACTCTAGCTCCAGTGTGAAATCACGGACAGCCCAAACAAAGTCTGGAAAGAAACTCACAAATTCAGATGAGTGATGTATTTCATCAGAGCTGGGAGATGATTTTGTCCTGATGAGCTCTGCTAGTTCAGTCACGTAGCTGAACCTTAGCTAAGGAAAGAGAAAGGTCCTTTGACAAAACTTCCAGATCTCACTCCTAAAACTGTTTTATAAGCATTCCTATTTGTCTCCCTTTTCCCACTTCTCCATGGAACTGAATTATGGGAAAAAAGTGAGTGCAATATCTACACACTGATAATGCATGACAGTTTTGCTCAAGAAGGATACTGCAGCTGTTCCAGGGCCTGGTGGTTGATGGTGCCAATGCTGTTGTAGACAAACACGCTGCTGAGTAGCACAGCCAGTGTGAAGATCCACGAGTCATTCTTGGGGTCACCCTAGAGAGTGCATTAATTAGGAAGTAAGAGCTTACTTTCCTTTCATCAGTAAATTCTTCACTCATGATGCCATTTGTGTTGTTGCTAAATAGTAGTGTAAAAGTCGTAAATTTTGAGAACAGTTCTGAACTGAAACCTCAGTTTTGTATCTATATATATTCCTCTCATGGTCTGAGATACTTTTGTGATTAACTAGCAATGAATGCCACTATTTGTGTGTGTCAAGTTTTAAATAGACATAGCAATAAGCAATGATGCTTGTGTAATTTTTTTTTAGTCATTGGCTCTAATAGGGGCACAATTATTCACTGCACATCTGCAGAGTATCAGTATCACTATCATGCATTTATTTATGTGACTATAAAGTACCTGCCTCAAGTAGATGCATTTCTAGAGGAGCAGGTATACATGGCGGCCTGCAAATGAAATTACGATGACCACATATTCAAGACTAAGTGGGATTTTAACAAACCAGAAAAAGTATTCTTTGATTCAGACTAAATAGCATTCATGTTTCAGTAGAATAATAGCATTGATTTAAGCATTGACAGAATGTAGAATTGTGAAGATTAATGAACTATGAGGTAGAGCAACAAAAGAAGACAACTGTTGTCAGAATGCAGACATAGGTATTACAAAGGTTTTTTTTTTTTAATAAAGATTTATTATGCATACAGAACTGGGGTACAGGCCAGAGGTGCAGGGCCAGTGAGAGGATTAACCAGAGACAGAGTGGGGAGCAGAACAGGTAGACTGATGGAGTACACTGCTGAGGGGAGCAGCGGGCGGGTCAGGAGAGGTCTGCCACACCATGTGGATCACCTCCGGGGCAGGTGGGGATTGAACTCATGAGGAAGTGGCTTTAGCTTCTTAGTGCTGTGCTTTAACCCACTGCGCCACCAGGGAGGGCCACAAAGGTTTTCATTAGACTGTAGTGGTTGGTTATTTGTTTGGCAGTAGATGACATGGCTGTAGTGGTATTTAGGACTGTTACAGTGACTTTCATAGAATCAGGTAACACTCAAATACACTGTAATTTGCAAGGATAACAATAGTTCTGCAGCTATTACCTATAATTGGGTGTGTTTTGTTACATTGATAAATGCTATTAGATACAAAGAAGGTCTATGAAAGCCACAATGTCTTCAGAATCAGTAGATTGTTGTGAATTTATATTTAGGTACTTATTGAGTATATTTATGATGAAATACTTATATTCAGAACTTCTGAGTTTATTCCCTCACACTTTTTTGATAGTAATAGAAGTCAAAGAGCCACTGCTACTACTATAATTTGGAATCTCACTTACATAAGCAAGGAAAAAAATTATTTTGAGCTTAGACTAAAACAATAACATTGAAATTATTCAATTTTTGGTGGGTCATGTTTTTATGTAAATTAGTGAAGAATTCAAACTCAAACCTCAGAGAATTGTACTAAAACCTAATAAGGAGTCCTGGCTTAGCAGTTCTGGGGTTGTTTTATAGTCTATTTCACTGACCTCCTATTTTCATGGTTCCTATTCTCAATCCCATTAATTACCCAGCCCCCACCCCTGCCACAATAGAACAGTCTATTGTGCCTTGTTCTGATAGCCTGCCTATTTCTTATCTCCCTAACTAGACTCTTTGAGTTTTGTTCCTTCACTGTGGTACCTATAGTACTTAACACAAAAGCCTCAATTCAGCAACCTGGCAAGTTTTTGACCAGTATCCTTCAGTGCAGTGTTTAAAACAAGGGTTATTCCTAATAAGTAAAATGCTAATCTTTAAAGGAAGCAAATTCAAGAAACAGAATTTAACTTCATTGTTTAAAGGAATATGGTAAAAACTGAATTGAGGTGGCAAAGTGAAATGTAAGTAGGGTATCAAGAGCAAGAAGATATTCTGCCTCACCTTTTCCACATCCCCCAGGCCCTCAGTGTCCAGAAGGACCAGAGTGTGGTCTGGCTTGGAGGGGTGGGGCACACACCACATCCAGATGCCCTTGGTTTTGGACTGCACAGTGGAGCCCAGAGGGAAACCTGAAGTGGAAGAGGAGAAAGTGTTATTGATAATAGGTGCAGGATGCCCACTGGTTTTACCTTGTAGTCCCTAGCTTATCAATTTATATTGATTAAATATATTATATATGTATATTTTATGTAACTATCTATAGGTTATAGCTTGCACAGTAGAAAATGTCAAATAGAAGAAAGAGAAGGGCCTGTAATTGACCCCTGTTTGGGAGTTAAACTTCTACTCTTTCAACAAGGGCAAGCAACCCAACTTTATACACATTAAGGAAATTCTCAAGAAGGCTTTTGTATTCCTGGTTCATGTCATGCCATTACTGACTAAAACTATGTCACATTACTGAATTATGTGAATTAGTTTATTTTAAATGTTTTTAGAATTAAAAATTATTTTATTGAGGTAACAATATATTGAACACCATATATGATTCAGAGGATGCAGATTCACACAGCTCATCAGGTGTATGTTACCACACCCATCCACTATCAAGGCTTCCATGGTGCAGGCCCTCCACTTTCTGTCCCCCAGCCACAAACTTCCTCTTTTGGAGATTGAAAAATAGGGAGAACCAAAGGAAGCAATAAGTTATAATAGAGTTCATGAATTAAGAATGTAAATAGAAAGTAATTATGGCAAATATATCAAATGATACAAAGTGAGGTCAGTAAATGCATAGTATATATAAATAAAGGGTCACTAAATCAGCAATAAACAGTTTTTGTACCTGATTTTTTGGGGGATGTGGATAATTCTCAGTTGCTGTTACCTAATATGTGTAAAAATTGCATATAAAGTTTGAAAAGCTGTTAATATCTAGAATGGCTCAAAGTATATATGTATATATACTTCTATCTGTATCTATATGTGTATTCATACACACACATATGATATACAAGCATATATATGAACCAACATTTCTACTTCATGAAATATCACAAAGGACCTAAATACAGGTCCATTCATAAAGTGAACAAAAAAAAATCAATACATAAATTGTGGTATTTTTGGATACTAGTGTGGTAAAAATAAATAAATAACATACCTATGACAAACCCTAGGCACTTTACTATAAACTTCTTGTTGAGCATTAGAAGCAAGAACACCAGAAATGTAATTCCCTTTATATAAAGGTAAACTATTTTTGAGAAATGTATATGCAGATTATGAAACTAATTTTAAAAATGAAAAGTGAAAAAATACACTATGAAAATATAAATGTTTTAAACTCTAGTATGTTTTGATGTTTTGTTTCTACATCTGGACTGTGATGATAGAACTTATCAGTTTATATTTACTAACTTTATCATTCAAATATATGTTTATGCAGCCATCTCCTTATGCTATAGTTTGCACATTCGGTAATACCAAATAGAGAATGGGAAGGGGGTATAGTTGAACAAATTTTGCTATCAAATGATGCAAAAATGCTTTATGATGGTCTCATTTAAATAGAATATATTGGGTTTCAATTATCTATTCATCTTCCATCCATTTTGGAAAATGAAGTCCTATTGAGCAATATTTTTGTGTTACTTGAAATGATCCTAATTTAGGGAAAAAATGATGTTAGAACAAGTAAGGGAATACTTGCTGGACCTGAGCTACTGAGCAGATAAGAGCAGCTGAGATTAAATTAATGAGGTATCCTTTGATAAAGTTTAGGAAAGGGAGAATTGAGGCAGATGTGGGTGAGGTGATACATTTAGTGATGATAATTAGTGTTCTTATTGGGAAGTGCTAAACTTTTCCTAAATGACCCTAAAGGGAGTGCCATCAGCCTGTGTCCTCACTGCTGCCCAGCCCACATCCCTTTCCCCAGAGCAGCACTCACCATGGTTCTGTCCCGCCAGGCGGTTCATTAGGTAGGACTTTCCTGTGCGACACAGCCCTGCGATGGCCACCACCACCACCGGCTCTGAGATCTTCTCCAGAATGTTCAGTGCTTCTGGGTTTACCCTCAGCTGCTGTTTCTCATTTTCCACCAGACAGATGGGGGCCATCATGATGGATCCAGGTGCCATGGTGAACTGTAACCCACAGGAAGAACTCCAGAAAATAAGAGCTCTGCAGGTCGGAGCTCCTGGTTGCACACTCCACTTCCATATCAGCTTTCTGCTCTGGAATGTATATCTCAATTTCTACATGTATATTTCTAAAGACCTTCTGTAGCTGAGTACATCAACACTGGTGTAGTGACCTAATGCACCTTATCTTATTGATGAATCCTTAAATGAACTTGGTTTATAAAGTGGATTAAATGAAAATATCAAGACTAAGCAGTTATGATGAAACTTTAAAAACACTAACATTTGGGGAGAAAATGGAGGAAGAATGGGTGCTGGAGATAATAAGCATCTGGAATCAGTTAATCTCTCAATGCATAAATACTTCTTGAATACCTACTATATGCTGGGATCTGTTCATGGACCTCAATTCTAGTGTGTGGGTAGGGGGTAGGAGTGGGGAATTAGACAAGTAACAATAGGCAAAAAAGACAAAACACATGTATTTATACATAGTATTTGCTCAAGGAAAGCAATGAAGTAATAGGCATAGGAAGTATTGGTGGCTGAAGAGCTATGGGGGTGTCTGGGAAGGCCTTTCCATGAATGAGAAAATGAATGTGTCAGCAAATGTGATGAGGACAGGCTTGGTGAATCAATGGCAGCATGAACAGGTTGGAGAAGGGTGATCTTAGGCAAAAGAAGAGAGAATGAATGGCACTCTCTCAACACATGCCTCCATAGTAGCTAGAAAAAGTTATGGGTACAGGAATTATGATGAAACACACTTAAAGTGCAACCCTATCCAGTATAGGACTCTGGCTAGTATTGTAATGGTCACAGGAATTAAATGATGCATCCTGATTGTAATTTCTTGCTTATGGGTGGACAGGGCGGAGAAGGATTAGTCATGGTGATTTAGGAGCTATCCATTAGTAACAGTCGTGCACGTGGGCAAGGTTCTAGTTTAACTCTTCATCTCAGTGATTGGGTATTAACGAAATCAACAGACAGCGAGCAGTTTCTACTGTGACAAACACTGTATGTTTTCAAGGAAATGCTAAACATTCATGTGTCCCCATACTTTCCTATCATGTGACCACTGACACGATTGTTAATGTCGCTGTGCTTCAGTTTCTCTCCTGAAAACTGCAGTTTCATGTAATAATCTCCTGGTGCTCATATTAATTAGGGGATTAATGTCTTACAATTTTTATAATACTCTTCAAATCTTTTTGGTCCATACTTAATCCTATGAAGCATTGAATAAAAGTTAAAAGTCTAGGAAGGTATCTCTAACTAAAGATGAGGGATTGGATCTGGGCTAAGCAGTGACTCCTCTCTCCTGGCAGCAAGTAGGGCAGGACACCTGCCAGGAGCAGGAGGAGGAGGAGGAGGCAGGAGAGGACCAGCAGTGACAGCTGAGGGAGCACAAGAGGGAGCGTGAGTCAGGCCAAAGGAAGCAGAGTCCAGGATGTCAGAGCACATGCTGGAGCCAGACTGCCAGGGTTCAGTCCCCAGAGTTTTAAATATTTCTTGTCTGCAAGCCCATGATAAAGGTCTATCTCTTTGAGCCTCCATTTCTCATCAGTGTTACAGGTAGAAAAATAATTCCTGCCTGACTGATTAGCACAGACTATTTATAGACAGGCACTCAATTTTTTTCTAAAATTCAGTATTGATGTACTGTTGCAGCAATGAGTTAGACAATGTCTAAAACTATGTGTGTCCATCAGTGAGCTGCTAATTGCCAAGAAATACAAGGTATACACAACCATTTTGTTCAAAAACACCACCAACTTACTTAACAGGCTTTCTGTAAAAAAAACCTCTCTCTTTTTTCTGTTGTATTGTGAACAGAATGGAATGACCCCAAAATTTTTAAAAGTAGTCAATTAAAAAGTAGTTTTCAAAGGAATAATTGAGTTTACTAAGCTTTTTTTTTTTAATGCAAGTGTATCATGATTTGGCTAAATTTATTAAACCTGTGGTCCTGTGAGCTAGTTGCTCTTCCTATAACCAGACACCAGTAGCATTTCCTGTGAGCAAGCTGCCCCACTAGCACTACCAACACCCTAACTACCTGATGTATCTTGTGTCACAGTTTTAATGAAAAGTTTATGTACACAGCATTTGCTATAATAGCTCTTGCTAAGGGAGCATAAAGAAACCATAAGGCAAAGGAAACTCAAATATAAAAGCTAGATTCCAGCTGCTCACTTCTGCAGACAACCACTTACTTCTGTCTTTCCCTCCCTTGGAAAGAAACTTTGCTTTACATCGCACCTCTCAGTCTCAGGATTCTTCCACAATCCACCAGACCTAATGCCTGCCAACACACCAACTTAGACACCCAACCTACAGCTATAAACTCCAAACAAGCAAGTAGTATGAGATAATTGTATAAGACAGAGTTACATGTGAATAATTTCCAAAATTTTCTGTTCATTAGAGTCATCTGAAACAATTGTTTTTTTTAAAAAAAATGTATCCAAAGCTGTGTCTTCTCAGCAAATATTGGTTAATTCTGAAACTGCTCTTGTGTAGACCCTACATTATAAACAGCGAGTGATCAACAGACATGATTAGAGCTTAGTTTAGTTATCTTTCACAGCTGACTAGTGAGTGTGAGGTTGAACTATTCCATTTGACAGTCTTGTAGTATATTTGGAATAATAAATGTTGCTACTACAAGTATAATATGCAGTCATTTAAGGATTTGAATTGTAAATGAAGAAGCATTTTTTTTTTCTGTTTCTCTAATGTCTGGTTGGGTAGTGTTGAGGTTGGACTGAGGTGGGGGGAAAGGGCATAATCAGGATCTGTCAGATTAGGGAGGACACTGCTGAGGAGAGCAGGGGGGAGTCCAGGGTCTGCCGCGTCATGTGCTTCACTTCCCCGGCAGGGATGGAACTCCTGCTGAAGCTGCTGGACCTTGCTTTGCAGTGCCCCAGCAATGCTCTTTGAGGCAGCCTGGGTTGGATCAGAGGAGAAACTGGCAACTGAGAACAGGCATTTTCCCCTCACAGCTGCTTCAAGTCCCAATGAGCATCTGAGCTGCTGGAGCAAACCCACCCCCATTTCTCCACCCCCTCCTCACCCCTCTATCCCCTCCTGGCTTCACCCCACTCCTGCATCCCACTAAATCTTAGAACTCTGTGCTCCTCTGGCTGCCTTCTTAGTGGACCTTGCACCTAGGATTTTGCTTTGATATTAAAATAAATATATAAGACCAAATTGAGGAGGGAACTCACCGGGAGTAGATGCTGCAGCTATGGAACAAGCTCTCAGCACTCCTTGCTGCCCCTGTGCTCTCCTTCCTTGGTCTCGGGCAGTGATTCTATTTTTAAGTTGAAAATACAGACAGTCCTGGATGTTTACAGATTGCTATGGCCTGTTTAGAAGAAATGAAACTGAAAGGGAAAAGGTGCTCGTTTCTAGGAAGTTAAAGTTTATTTTCAGTTTTCTTCCTCTTTTGAAAAGGCAGGGCTATATAAGGAGGGAGAAATTCCAGGGTTTCAACACCCTTGGTTTAAAATTCCAGGGTTTTCCCTCCTTCACATATGACTTAGGTTTCTTTGACTCCAGAATAAATACAGAGAAGCAGACATGAGTGTAATGGTGAGTCCTAGGGCTAATTAGGGTACTGGCAGCTTCAGGGGCAGATCAGGCATGGACTTCAAAAGAGGTAAAGAGGCTTCTGAGAAAAGGAAATATATTCTAAGAGGTACTAACCAAAACATACTCCAGAGATGAGGTGAGAAAGTCCAGAAGGACTAAATAAACAAGGACAATAAAACTTGAGAGAATGAGACCTTGGATAGGGAGGGTTAAAGGAGAAACTCTAGGATAAGAGTTAAAGTGGGCACATCTGCATGGAGGAGAATAAGCACTGGGAGAGAGAGATTGTCACTTAGTAGGATGATGAGATTTTAGAATAGTGAAGACAGGTTAAATATTCTCTACACACAGGCCCATACTGGCATCTTTTGCCTGCAACTGGTTTTGATGGTGTTGAGTCTTCACCTTTGTTCTTTTCCTCTGAGTAAACTTTTCCTTTAATTTCTAAATAAAGATTTCATTCTCTCAGCTTATATCTCTGAGGATTTGTTCAAATTCCCTTTTGCTGCTTTCTGGGAAAGGAACCCATGTGGTTTAAGGGTTCTGGGATGAAAAGCAGTAGCAGCACAAACTGGTTTCAGTGATCTGTTGAGAAAATTCAAGTGTCTGTCTCTCTGGGGTGCTTTTCTGAGTTTAGCTACCACAGATTTCTTTTAAATTTTTTCACTTCTTTCTTTTTTTTTTTTTGTTTTTGTTGTTCCCAAATGAATTTCTCCTTCAACTGTGATTTTCTTCCCCAATAACTATATATATGTGTGTGTGTGTGTGTGTATGTGTATATATATATGTATATATATACATGCGTGTATATATATGTATTTATGTATGTATATAATACACACACACACAGCAGTGTGTGTGTGTATCTAATCCTTTATTTTATAACCCAGACACATGCACTGTTGTTTTGTATACTCCACATTCTCACAAATACTTGTTGTCCTTTGTCTTTTTGATAATGGTCATTCCAATGGGGGTGAGGTAATACAGCTCACATTGTTTCTTTGATTTGCGTTTCCCCACAATTAATGATGTTGATAAACTTTGCCTGGTCCCATTACCTTAAGTATATCTGTTTTGTAAAATTATCTTTAGACTCTACCCATTTTTTTAAACAGACATATATTTTTTTAAGATTTATTTATTTGTACATACAGAACTGGGGTACAGGCCAGAGGCTCAGGGGCAGTGAGAGGCTTCACCAGAGACAGAGTGGGGAGCAAAACAGGCAGATCTACAAGGGGATCTGCTGAGGGGAGAAGCGGGTGTGTCAGGAGAGGTCTGCCACGCCATGTGGTCACCTCCAAGGCAGGCGGGAATCGAACTCATGCGGAAGTGGCTTTAGCTTCTCAGTGCAGTGGTTTAACCTGCTGCACCACCAGGGAAGACCTAAACAG